CTCCCAGGCGCGGCCTGAGCCGCCAGCTGAGGCCGGGGTGCCAGAGCAAGCCCCAGCTGGGGGCGGGGAGCACCAGCTGCCAGTCAGTAGGTCAGCTTGATCCATCCGTTCAGCACCGTTCCGGTGAAAACCCCAACAGGCTTTATGTTTTATCTGTCGTTTGGAACTTACCAGCTGATCCTAAAATTTATACTGAAGTCCCATGGCCAAGGGTAGCCCAGACACCTTGGCCTGAAGAAGTGCCAGGTGGGAGAAGTTTTCCAGAAGGAAACTGGAGCCTATGTCAAAGTTACAGTAACTGAGGTGCAGGGAAGACGGTCCGGTCCAGGGGCCACCTGAGGACCTGAGAAGTAAAGTAGGGTGGCTTTAAGGGATTTCTACCTCTGCCTCAGTCTTCTCATCTGTACAGTGGGACCGTGTGCCAAGAGTTGGAGTGATGGTCGGGGTTCCAGCAGAGAGTCCCTGCCACAGCGTGAGGCCTCCTGGATGGGGGCTGGCGCTCTGTGGCCTTATGACGGTTCCTCCTGTGTGTCCCCAGGGCTGCAGGCAGGAGGCACACCCCTTCCACGGGCAGGCAAACACGTGGGTGAAAGGATGCCCCCCACGCCGTGGGGTGCACAGGCTGGCCACGCAGCGCCCCCCATCTGGCCCTGGTGGTGGCTCCAGGTGGCCAGGTGCTCGGGCAGGGGGTGGGGCTTCATCCGGACGGGCAGGTGCCAGGTGGCTGCTGACAGAGGCGCCGCAAGTTTCACAGAGAGAAGCAGACGGTCTTGGGGGGGGGAGGTGCTGAGGCTTCCAGTAACCCCAGGGCAGGGGGTAAACTGAGGCCAGGTGCAGTGAGTGGGCCCCATTGTGGCCTGGACTCCCCCAAAAAAGCATGTGGGGTTCAGTTCTGCATTATAGTCAAAATAACTAATGTTGACTGAGCGGTATCAGCCTCAGCTCCATTTCATCCATGACGTCGCCGCCCTGCGCCTCAGTTTCTCCATCTGTATAAGGGGCATGTTAACAACACCCACCTCTTGGGTGTGCTGTGTGGATTTTTACAACGCCTGGCACATAGTAAGTGATTGGTGCTTGCCACCTTTATTATTTATTGAGCTTCCACTGTATGCATGGCCCTGTGCTGGGTGCTGGGGACACAGTGGTGGCCAAGACCCTGTCCTGCCCTCCCAGGAGGCTCACAGTCCAGTGGGGATGACAGACAGGCAGGCAGTTAGAAGGTAGGGGGATCAGGGCACTAATGGGGGACACACTGGCACGTGGGAGCCTGGAGGAAGCCCATCTGGGCTGATCTGGGAAGGCTTCCTGGAGGAGGTGTCTGCAAAGAACAAGTTTACCAGGTTACTGGAAGCAGGAGGAGGGTGTGCCAGGCAGAGGGAACAGCATGTGCAGATGTCCAGAGGTGGAGATGGAATGGAGGGGAGGAGTTGGGACTTCATTTTGAGGACACTAGGGAGCCATAGAAGGGTTCAGAGCAGAAGTTCTCAGCTGGGGCTGGTTTTGCCCCCCAAGGAACACTGGATAAATGTCTGGGGAAATCTGTGGTTGTCACACTGGGGTTTCTCCTGGCATCAAGTGGGGGGGGCAGGGATGCTGCTCAACACACCCACAGTACCCAGGACAGCCCCCCAGGGAGAATATCGCCCTGAATGTCAACAGTGCCAAGGGGCAGAGACCCTGGTTTAGAGCAGGGGAAAAACAGGTGAGATTTGAGTTCTAGAAAGATTCCTTTGCTACCTTGAGGAGGATACTGAAGTGGCAGGATTGGAGGCCAGGAGACCAGGTAGGAGGAGGTGGGGGCTGGGCTACAGAGCACTCGGGGGACAGGGAGGGGACAGGGAAGTCAACACCCCATTCTTTGGCTAGGGGATGCCGGGGCTGTTCTTAAGTCGAGGAACTGGTAGGAGAAACAGGTTCGGGCCAGGAAAGCCCAGTGTGGGTCCCAAGGGTCCTTGGTTGGATCTGTGGGGCTGGGGGCAAATGAACCCCTTCCCAGCCTCCAGTTGCTGCATCACAAGGTTAAGAAAACCAGGAGAAAAAGTTAGCCATGAGGTCCCATCCTGACCTGGGGCCTCAGTCTGCCTGTCCATGCACTTGGGTATTAAGTTACTGCTAGCCTGTCTGGGTTGAAGGTTGAGGGAATGGGCTGGGTGGTTATTGATCTTGTTATGGTCATTAGGACGCTCAATACCTAGGAGCAAAATCCTGGAGCCAGAGAGCCCTGGGTTCGACCCAACTGCCACATCCTCTCTGGTGGGACCATAGCCCCCAAATCAGACCCTCAGTGTTCACATCTGCAGAATGGGCTGACTGTTACATCACTCCCGCTAGAGCCAGTGGGGGGCTCTATGAAGTAATTCCTGGAAACCAGCCAGCCCCAACTTCTGGTACTTACTATGGCAACAGCAACAACAGGAATCATAATAATTAGCATTTACTGAGCACCTGCGCTGTGCCAGGGGCTGCACTAATACCCGCCACAGGCCTATGAGATATGTCCTGTTCTCATGCCCATTTTACAGATGAGGAAACCGAGGCCCAGAGGCAGAACCCGTCCAGGATGACACAGCATGTAAATGGCCGAGCTGGGATTTGAACCCTTGCAGCCTGACTCTGGAGCCCTGCATGGCCAGTGAATGGAAGCTTTGTTTGGAAGGTTCTTACATTAAATGTTGTTCTGATAAAACATGGGCCAGAATGCACAGGGCATCACCTCACACCCATTCTGGGATGGCAAACCCAGAAAATAACACATGTTAGCAAGGATGTGGAGAAATGGGAACGCTCACGGGCTGCTGGTGGGAATGTGAGGTGGGGGGCAGCGCTATGGCAAACGGTCTGGTGGTTCCCCGAAGAAGTTAAACATAGAATTACCATGTGATCCTAGGTCTAGACCAAAAGAATTGAAAGCAGGGTCTCAAAGAGATGTTTGCAACCCCAAGTTCATAGCAGCCTTATTCACAACAGCCAAGAGGTGGAGACAACCTCAGTGTCCGGCAGGTGAATGAATAAACACGGTGTGGTCCATCCATGCGCGGGAACACGCTCCAGCCTTAGAAAGGAAGGGACCCTGACACCTGCCACGACGTGCAGGGACCCTGAGGACACCGCGCTCAGTGAGAGGAGCCAGACCCAGAAGGACACATCCCACAGACCGCACTCCCAGGAGGTCCCCAGAGGAGTCCCGTCCACAGAGACAGAGAGGAGAGGGTGGGAGCCGGGGCTGAGGCAGGGGGTGGGGAGTCCATGCTTCGTGGGGACAGAGTCTCCATGTAGGGAGATGGAAAGTTCTGGAGATGGAGGGTGGGGGTGGCTGCACGACAGGGTGAGTGTGCTTCGTGCCGCTGAACTGTGCACTTAAAAATGGTTAAGATAGTAAATTTATGATATATATATTTAACACAATATAAAAAGAAAAATGTTTATTAAAAAAAAAAACGGACAGAGCACCTCAGAGGCCGGGATGACCCAGGCAGGTGTTGTGGGGGAGGAGGCTGGAGTGGGGGAGAGCAGTGGCCTGAGGGTGGAGTAGGCAGCAGCAGGCTGGAGGCCACACTGGGGGCCTTGACTGCTATGCAGTGGCTGGGACCTAGATAGGAGTCACTGGGAGCCATGGGAGGCTGCAGACCAAGGGAGGAGCCAGGGAAGGAAGCTCTTAAGGAAGCAGAGGCATGTCCCCCGAACACGTGGGATCCGGGCATCTGCTGAGTCACAAATACTGGAAGTCCAGGGTCAGGGAGAGGAAGCTCTGCTGGTCCACGCAAGGCCTTCCTGTTTTTTGGCCCTGAGTCCTCAGAGGCAGGCACTCCAGGGCCAAAGGTCCCGACCACCTTCACCTCCAGGGCTTCAGAATCTTGGAGCTCTGAGGCCAGGACAGGGCGTGGTGATGTCCCTGCTGCCCAGATGGGGAAACTGAGGCACAGGGGTTGCCTGTCTGTGGCTTCTGGGAAGGACAAGGCTGCAGGCTTCTTACTCGGGACCTCCAGACTGCACCCCTGCTGGTAGGGATGTGGAGGGCTGGGTTCCAGAGGGTGAGTTCTGCTCACACTTCCACCAACCGATCATCACCGGGAGGGAGTCTCCATGCTGCACAACCCGGCAGGTTCTCCAAATTACCTTGAACAGGAGCGGGAAGCAAGCTCCCTTGAGGGGTAGTGAGGTACCTGTCACAGAGGTATTCCAGCAGAGGCCAGAAAGCCTGGACTTGGGAAGGAAGTCAGACTCACCGGGGCCCCTCTGAGGTCCCCGGCCAGCTGGAACATTCTACGATTCTAAAGTATGGAAACTCCCAGATTGTGGTTTATAAAATTCTGAGAGACTGAAAAATTTTTTTAAGACTTTCATTTTAAGATTGTGGTTTATTTTTTTAAAGATTTGATATATTTATTAATTTATTTGAGAGAGAGCAAGCAAGCGGTGGGAGGGGGGAGGGAGAGGGACAAGCAGACTCCGCGCTGGGCCGGGAGGCCCACGAGGGGCTCAATCTCAGGACCCTGATATCACGACCTGAGCGGAAATCAAGAGTCAGTCGCTGAACTGACTGAACCACCCAGGCGCCCCAGGATTGTTGTGTTTTAATTGTAAGATTTCTTGAATATATGTTTTGAGATTGAATTATTTAAGTACGTGTTGTTAAGTGTTGTGTCTATCATTATCGTGATTATTTGTTTTTTTAATTATTTAATATGATTTCATTTCAAAGTCATTTAAATATTGTCATTATTAGTTTTTGGTTCGAAACCATTTCCGGAGCTCTCACTACGATGTGGTCAGAAAGTCTTTCTGATAATTAAATAAGTGCTGGCGTTACTATTATTGCCGAGGTTTGTGTTATGTTTTATTATTACCCCATGGGGAGTGGTTTTTGGGTACTTGAAGGTCCAGGCCACTGCGGCTCGCGTGCGCCATCTCTCGGCGGAGGGAGGAACTGCAGGCCGCGCAGCTCACCGCCAGGCCCCTCGCCCGCAGGTCTCACTTCTCGTCGCCCTGACCTCGCCATGCGGACCCCGCGAGCGCCCCCTCCTCGCCCGGCCCCACTGCTCCTACTGCTGCTGCTGGGGGGAGCCAACGGCCTCTTCCCCGAGGAGCCGCCGCCACTTAGCGTGGCCCCCAGGGACTGTGAGTGGGGGTCCCGGGGGGAGCAGGAGTCCGGAGGGAGGGTCTTGCTTCCCAGCTGGGTCGGCTGCCCACTTCCCTCAGGGCTCACCAGACCAGGCTCACCCCAGCCCTGGATCACACCCCTCCCCCAGACCTGAACCACTACCCCGTGTTCGTGGGCAGCGGGCCAGGACGCCTGACCCCCACAGAGGGTGCTGACGACCTTAACATCCAACGAGTCCTGCGGGTCAACAGGACCCTGTTCATCGGGGACAGGTATGAGGGATTGTCGGGCAGAGTGCAGGGTGAGGTGTGGGGAGCTGGTGGTGGCATTTTGGGGAGGTTTGCACGATGGACCACATTGTTTGGCTGGAGTACGAATTGGCATCTTTGGGGTGGGACTATATAAAGGGTGCTGACTGAACTCCACTTGTGGTTACAGTCTGGAGTCTGCTATTGTGTGTTTGTAGGTGGGGACAGTTCTTTGGTCAGAATTCCCTGGGTTTCTATAGAAGGTGCTGATGTGGGGCTCTAGGGCTTCTCGGAGAATGGACATTTGAGTTGAGACCTGAGTGATGAGGGACCAGCCATGGGGACATCTCGGGGGAGAGGGAGAAAATCTAGGCAGAGAGCACAATCTATGCAAAGGTCCTGGGGCAGGATCCGGCCTGGCGTGTTGGAAGAACATTGAGGAGGCCCGATTGGCTGGAGCAGAGTGGGTGACGGGGAGATGGGGAGGAAGGGAAGGCGGGGAGGGGACCGGGCAGGTCGTGTGGGGTCTTGGGGACCACAGGGAGGACATGGGCTTTTACCCCAGTGAAGGGGGAGCCCTGGAGGGCTGTGGGCAGAGGAGGGGGTCCTGACTCCTGAGTCAGGACCCTGCTCATGGGTACCCTCTGATTGCTGTGGGAAGGACGGACCAAGGGCTGGAGCCAGGGGAACCAAGGCGAAGGCGACTGCCCTGGTTCAGGGTGGACTAGGGTGGTGGCCGTGGAGTGCATGAGAAGTGGGTAAATTCTTGGTAGACATTAAAGGCAGAGCTGACAGTATTGGCTAATATGTGGGAGGCGAGGAGAAGTGGCAAGTTGAGGGTGCCTCCCAAGTTGTGGCCTTTGCCCCTGGAAAGACAGAGTGGCCTCGGCCGAGATGAGCGACAAGGCAGGAGCAGGTGCGGGGACAGTCGGGTGCAGCGTGGTCGAGCTGAGTATGAGACGCCCGGGAGCCCCCCGCAAAGAGACCTCCAGGATCCGCTGGACCCCCAAGTCTGGAGCTCAGGGAAGGGCCCGGCTGGAGACAGGACTGTGGGTGTCATCCTGCCATAGACGGGGGGGGGGGAAGAGCGGACAAGGCTGCCCGGGAAGGGAGCGGCTGGGGAGGGAAGAGGCCCGAGGACCCAGCCTGGGCATCAGGGGAGCAGTGAGAGACTGAGGGGCTGGAGAGGTGGGAGGGGAGCCGGGTCCCTGAGGAGTTCCCAGGAGAAGGAGGGGGGCCGGGCCAGTGAGACACTGCACGAGGGGAAGGACAGGGAAGTGACTGCTGGACTTCAACTTGACCAAGGCAGTTTCTGCGGTGGGGGCGGGGGGGAAGAGCCTGGGGAGACTGAGAGGTGGTGGGAGGGGCACCTGATGGCACCTGATGAAGGGCACTGGACAGTTCATCATGTTGGGAGTAGGCCCCCAAGGCCGTGGGGCGTGTAAGCTTGAAGTGGCATGTCAAGGCGTATGGGGTGTGCTAGAACCTGTGGGTCACTTTAGGACCGGAGGAAGCGTGTGATGGCACTCACGAGCACGCGGGGGCATGTTCAGTGTTGCAGTTGCTAGTGGCTGAGGCACTGGCACACCCCTGCACGTTACGTGTGGGACACACTTCTGCCGCCAGGAGAATGGAGAGTGGAGGCGGGGGGTTGGAGGCTCCCATCCTCACTAGCTGCACCTCTCCCCTAGGGACAACCTGTACCGGGTGGAGCTGGAGCCCCCCACGACCACGGAGCTGCGGTACCAGCGGGTGAGGAGGGGGCCCAGGTGGGAGGGGTGGGGGCAGCACTTGAAGCTCCTGACAGGGGGCCCTGACACGGGCTGGGGAGCAAGAATTGGGCGGCAGGGATCCCGCTCCCCTCACCGCTGACTCTGCTCTCAGAAACTGACCTGGCCCTCCAACCCCAGTGACATCAACGTGTGTCGGATGAAGGGCAAGCAGGAGGTGAGTGGGACCTGGGCACGCCTCCAGCCACGCCCCAATCCGGCCCAGCTCGGGGCAAATGTTCCTCTGTCTCCGTCCGCGGCCAGAACCCTCCTGTTGCCATGGCTGCGCCCCGAGAGCCTGGCCACGCCCCCAAGTGGTCCTCAGGCATGGCCACGCCCCCAGCCTTGGTCTTGCCGGAACTCCATCCCTTCAGTGGCCGCCGATGCAAAGTATTTCTGCGCCCTGGCGGGTTCCTCGGTCACTTGGAAGATCCAGTCCCGTTTCAGCCCCTGATGTGGTCCCTGTCCTGGCCACGCCCACACCGCCGGCCCCGCCCCGCAGCCCCTCCAGCCCTCGATACTAGGCCCACACCCGTGACCACGCCCACCATGACTTGTGTCTTCCCGCCCCACCCCAGGGCGAGTGTCGAAATTTTGTAAAGGTGCTGCTTCTTCGGGACAAATCCACGCTCTTCGTGTGCGGTTCCAATGCCTTCAACCCCGTGTGTGCCAACTACAGCGTGAGTCCCCGCCCTTCCAGGCCCTGATGCCCCAGGTCCAACCTCCTGGTCTTGGCTCACCTGCCCTCTGCTGGCCGGGCACTTTCCCCAGATCACGTCACCTACGGGAAGCCTTCCTGGATATACCCTCCTCGGCCCCTCACCAGGAGCTCCAGAGGAGGCTTCGAAAGGAGATCCGGGAAGCCATAGCTCACTTAAGCTACAAGCCAGTTATAGGATTAACTAGAATTGACTCTTAGACTGGCTCGCAGAACAGTACACTAAGCTCTAGAGAGTTTAAGTGGCTGACCAAATCACACAGCATCCAAGGTGGAGGCAGGATTCCTCAGGGGTCGGGGGGGGGGTGCTGCCAGGTGTGGCCAGGAACGCTGTCACTCAGGCCCCATCCCCCCTGCAGATGGACACACTGCAGCCCCTCGGGGACAACATTAGCGGCATGGCCCGTTGCCCATATGACCCCAAACATGCCAACGTTGCTCTCTTCTCTGGTGAGTGCCCCCAGCTCTGACCATCTGCTGGGGCCCCAACCCTGACCCGCGTGGCATTTTCCACTCTTGGAGGCGGGTTATTATGAAGGTGACTGTGAAACAGAGAATCTCAGCCACGGTCGGCACTCAGCCAAGGTCAGGGCTCAGCTGGGGGAGCTGGAGATCAGCCTGGGCTCAGGCTTAGGTGGGGTCAGGGCGCGGTCTAGGGACAGGAGCTTCCTTGGGCTCTGGGCTCAGTCTTGGAAGATCAGGTTTTGACCCACCCCGCCCCTGGCCTCTGTGATGTAACTTCTCACCCGTTTCCCCTCAAATCACGCCCATCCAGAAGGAATGCTCTTCACCGCCACAGTTACCGACTTCCTAGCCATCGATGCTGTCATCTACCGCAGCCTGGGGGACCGGCCCACTCTGCGAACCGTGAAACATGACTCCAAGTGGTTCAAAGGTGGGGCAGGCATTCATCAAATCCCCCCACCAGAATAAGAGTCCCAGAGGAGACAGAGAGGGACTCCCATCTCATCTTTGGAACCTACTGACCTCTTTGAAGACAAAGCTAGAGGAAAGACTTCAGTTGGATCTAAAGTAGAACTTGCTGGAAATGGGTGGTTTGGAAACCTGAAATGGAACAAGAGGGATATAGTGGGAATTTAGCTCTTCGACACATGAGGGAAGAAGGTGACAAAAATAGTAGATGTTGCTGTTTGTGGAGGGTAGACACAGTGATTTTAGGATTCGGACACCCAACACCCCCCCCCAAAATCCTTGAGTCTATTTTATTTTGCCTGTGTAATTGGCCAATGTCCCCCCTTCACTGTAAAAGCATTCACCTGAGCTGATGTGTTCACAGCCCCAGAAACTCCATTTCTCATGTTAGGGGCTGAGTTCTGACCCCTCCTCTCCTACAGAGCCCTACTTTGTCCATGCGGTGGAGTGGGGCAGCCACATCTACTTCTTCTTCCGGGAGATCGCGATGGAGTTTAACTACCTGGAGAAGGTAAGGTCCTCTCTCTCCTACCCCTGAGGGGCACTAGTGGTGGGGCATGGAGCTGAGAGGCTCTGATCATGGGAAGTGGGGAGTAGAGGTGGATCCATGAATCTCCACCTGGGGCAAGAGGTTCCGCCCTCCACCTCTGATCCTCAAGACCCTCCACTCCAGCCAGGACCAGGCCTCTGAGGCTGGAAGACATTTATGGAGCGGCCTTGGTGCACACAGCCCTGGGTGAGGTTCATGGGTTTGAAGGCAGGTAACACCTCTGGGTTCCAGTCCTGGTGTTGTTGCTATTCACCTGTCCACCCACCCATCTCTCAACCATTTATCCATCCTTCATCCACTGTCCATCCATCTGCCTACTCACCCTCCTACTCAGCCACCTTCTCACTCACCCCTCTATGTGTTCTTCAGCCCACCCATAATTCCATCAACTCATGTATCTGTCTATCCATTTACCTGTCTGCCAACCCATCCACTCAACTATCATCCATCCATCCATCCATCTGCTCGTCTGCCTTACCTCCCACTCGTTTCCTTATTTACCCATTTATCCACCTACCTGTGCATTCATTCATATACTTAACAATCCACTTATCTATCCTCTTCATTAGCTCATTCATCTCTTCATCTATCTGTCCACGCTTTGGTATATCCAATTGTCTACCCCCCCCATAACTTATTTATCCATGCCATTCAATGTTCTGTCTACCCATACATCTGCTCATCCATCTACCCATGGATCCGCTCATCCATCTACGCATGCATCCGCCCATCCATCTACGCATGCATCCGCCCATCCATCTACCCATGCATCCGCCCATCCATCTACTACCCATGCATCCGCCCATCCATCTACCCATGCATCCGCCCATCCATCTACGCATGCATCCGCCCATCCATCTACCCATGCATCCGCCCCCATCCATCTACCCATGCATCCGCCCATCCACCTACCCATGCATCCGCTCATCCATCGACTCATGCATCCGCTCATCCATCGACTCATGCATCCGCTCTTCCATCGACTCATGCATCCGCTCATCCATCGACTCATGCATCAGCTCATCTTTCGACTCATGGATCTACTCATCCTTCGACTCATGGATCTACTCATCCATTGATCTGTTCTTATGTTCTTCTTCATCTGCCCATCCATCTATTCCTCCTCCACGCAACCACCCATTTATCCACTTACCCATCCATGCATTCATGCGCCCACCCATCCATGCACCCACCCACCCATTTATCTCCCATCTGTCCACTCATCCATACACACGTCCTTCTTCCCATCCATCCATTCATCCATCCATCATCTCCTTCATTATTTTTCTAACTATGCATCATTATCTCCTTCAAATTTGTTCATCTGTCCATCCGTCTGCCCACTCATCCTGCCACCCCTCCACCTGCTCATCTGTCCTGTCCCTCACTCCACCAGGCAGCTGGACAGTTAAGTGAGAATTCTTCCCCATTTACTACTAGTGTGACGTTGGGCCAGTCACTTCTCTTTCTCTAGTCCTCGGTTTCCCCATCTGTACAATGGGGATATCGGTCCCCTCCTTTGTAGAGTTTGGGAGGAGTGTAGGAGATGGTGAGGATTATGTGCCTGGTACGTAGTGAGCAGTCCATAAACACGTGAGATTTGGACGGGGATAGCCGTGGTTGTGATGACCATCCCTGACAGCCCCATGTTTCCGCTGCGGAATGGGGTGCAGAGGAGTATGGTGACTAACTGGGGTCGCACAGGGAGCCAGTGACAGACTCCTCCCTCCTGGCCTGGGTGATGGCCAGTGCAGCCTGTGGGCAGCCTTCCCGGACTCAGGGCTCAGGCCCCCATTTTATCTGCTGTCGCACCAGGTGGTGGTGGCCCGCGTGGCCCGGGTGTGCAAGAACGACCTGGGAGGTTCCCCTCGGGTGCTGGAGAAGCAGTGGACATCCTTCCTGAAGGCGCGGCTCAACTGCTCTGTGCCTGGGGACTCCCACTTCTACTTCAACGTGCTGCAGGCCGTCACGGGTGTGGTCAGCCTGGGGGGCCGGCCCGTGGTCCTGGCTGTTTTCTCCACCCCCAGCAACAGGTCAGAGGGCCCCGAGGGGAGCAAACTGGGGCACTGGGGGGAGAGGGGCAGGGAGCTCCCACATTCATCATATATTCCCTGGGTCCTGGGCTGGGCCAGATCGGACTCCCGAGTGGCATCAGCCCCAGACTGGGGTGGGACAAACACAGCCACTGACCCTCCATGGCCCTTTGGTCAGAAGGGGCCAGATGGGGGGTGTCCTCATCTTCTGCCTTTAGAAGAGGGGGTCAAAGAGGGCTTCCTGGAGGAGGGGACATTGGAACGAGCCACCAATGGGTGTGAGATGGCAGGAGAGGGAAGAGCATTCCAAGTTGAAGGAATAGCATGTGCAAAGGCCCTGAGGCTGTAGTGAGTTCGGTATGTTTAAATAATAAGGAGGAGGCCCCCGTGGCTGGAGAGGAGGAGGCAAGGGGGAGAGTAGAGGATATGAGGGCAGAGAGGTGATGAGCCACTGGGAGGAGCCTGGACTGTATCCTGAGAGCTCTAGGGAGCCATGGGAGAGTGAGGAGCAGAAGAGAGACAAGGTCAGATGTGCATTTTTGGAAAGCCCCCTAGGGCATGGGTTGAAAGGGGGCAAGAGTGACATCTGGGAGACTGGACGTCCAGGCAAGTGACGATGGGTGGCCACGGGGGGACACGGGTGGCCATGGAGGAGCCAGCCTGTGGTCCAGTCTGAGCCCTGTTGAGGAAGCAGAGTGACTGGAGCGGATGGGTGGCATCTCTGGCCCAGGGGACGGAACATCTAACAGCTTCACCGGGACAAAGGCTCTCCAGCGCGCTTGTCCAAGGCAGTGCCCTCCACCAGGCTCACCGCTGCCTCTCCCCTAACTCCCCCAGCATCCCCGGCTCGGCTGTCTGCGCCTTTGACATGACTCAGGTGGCCGCTGTGTTTGAAGGCCGCTTCCGTGAGCAGAAGTCCCCTGAGTCCATCTGGACACCCGTGCCGGAGGATCAGGTGCCACGGCCCCGGTGAGAGCCCCCTTGATCCCGAACCAGGTACCCAGGTGGGGTGTCCTGACCCTAGGACGAAGGGCTGGGACTTCCGGGTGGATTTTTTTTAATTTTTTTATTGTTATGTTAATCGCCATACATTACATCATTAGTTTTTAATGTAGTTTCCAGGTGGATTTTGTGGGGCTGAGTTCAGCTGTACCCATTACACAGATGCAGAAGACTGAGGCCCTTTGGGCAGGGCAGCAGGTCCCCTGGCAAATCAGAGCCCCTCTGTAGGGATGTGCGAGGCCACCCTGACCACCACTTCCTCCCCACCTAGACCCGGGTGCTGTGCAGCTCCTGGCATGCAGTACAACGCCTCCAGCGCCTTCCCCGATGAGATCCTCAACTTTGTCAAAACCCACCCCCTGATGGACGAAGCGGTGCCCTCTCTGGGCCACGCGCCCTGGATCGTGCGGACTCTAATGCGGTCAGTCCCCATGCATGGCTGGGGTCCGGTGGGGCAGTGGGTGGTGACGAGAGCCCAGGCCAGGGTGGTGGGTGCGGAGGAAGAAGGGGGCCATCTGTGGGCGTGAGGGCAAGAGGGAGAGCAGCCCTGCTGCAGCCAGGCCCTCCAGACAGCTGAGTATGCAGCGACCCAGCGCCGCGTAGTGGGGACGGGGTGGTGGGGGGGAGAGAGGGGAAGGGGGAGACAGGCCCAGCCTGGGGCCCACCTTGGGGGTCTGTCTCTCTGTGATGTGCACCCACCTGGCATGGGTGGTGTCTCTACACATGCCCAGGGCACCGCAGGGGCTCTGGGACCAGTCTAACCCCTGCCCACCCTGGCCCCAGGCACCAGCTGACGCGAGTGGCTGTGGACGTGGGCGCTGGCCCCTGGGGCAACCACACTGTTGTCTTCCTGGGCTCCGAGGTGGGCACCGTCCTCAAGTTCCTCATCTGGCCCAACGCCAGCACCTCGGGCACCACTGGGCCCAGTGTCTTCCTGGAGGAGTTTGAAACCTACCGACCAGACAGGTGGAGTGGGCAGAGGTCGGGAGGTGGGACCGGTGGGCGGGGAGATGGGGCTCGCCCTCGAGTCTTGCCAATCTGCTCACCCGCAGGTGTGGACGGTCGGGCAGTGGCGAGGCAGGGCGGCGGCTCTTGAGCCTGGAGCTGGACACAGCCTCAGGTGGCCTGCTGGCAGCCTTCCCCCGCTGTGTGGTCCGCGTGCCCGTGGCCCGCTGCCAGCAGTACTCAGGGTGCATGAAGTGAGTGCCCCCTGGCGCAGGCTGCGGAGGTGAGGGGGAGGCAAGGGGAAATGAGCATGGGAAGCCGGGAGAGCCGAGTTCAAGTCCAGGGCCCAACAGTGTCCTGACTCATTGAACGATGAGTCGATGAGCCAGGCAGAGGACACAGCTCGTGCAAAGGCCCTGGGGCAGGAGTGAGCCTTCTATGTTGGAAGAACAGCAAGGAGGCCCGATTGGCTGGAGCAGAGTGAGCGAGCGGGAGAGAGGGAAGAGGGGAGGACAGCAAGGGGAGTGGGGCAGTTGTGCAGGGGCAGGGTCCTGTGGGCCAGGGGGAGGCTTGGGCTTTCAGAGGTGGGAGCCCTGGAGGGCTGTGGGCAGAGGGCTGTATGAGATCTGACTGACATCTTTAAGAGCGGCAGGAGCAAAAGCTGGGGACCAGGGAGACAGCTGTCTCTCCGCCTCTAAAATGGGTGGCAAGATCAGATGTAAAGTTCTGGTACGCCCCTAGGCTCAGCGTGAGCCCTCAACACGGAGAAATCCTTCCCTGAGCCCGCCACCATGGCAATAATGACGCCTGGCCTCCCACTTGGGCAAAAGTGAACTGTCCTGCGCCTTATCTAGAAAGTGGGGAATAAGTAGCCCCTAGCGCAAAGATTTGTCACAAGGACTCCTGGAACTGGCAGTCAGAAGTACCTTGTAGGGGACTGTGGTTGATGGACCCGCTGGGTCACCTGTCTGCTCTAGGAACTGTATCGGCAGTCAGGACCCCTACTGCGGGTGGGCCCCTGATGGTTCCTGCATCTTCCTCAGCCCTGGCGCCAGGTACTGGGGGAGAGGGCCTAGGGGAGGGTGTCTCACCCACCTGACGACCAGGCTGTGGGAGAGGTTTCTGCTGACTGCCTTTCTTACCCCGGTAGAGGCACCTTTGAGCAGGACGTGTCCGGGGCCAGCACCTCAGGCTTAGGGGACTGTACAGGTAAGCGGAGTGCGGGCGGGCAGGCAGGGGGGCTGGGGACCACCAAGGTTCTCCTAGTGCCCTTTGTTGCCCAGGCCCAGATGGGGGGGGTGCTGGGGGAGGGGGATGGCCTGGGTCAGGGCATTGGAGGGGCAGGGGTCTCACTTCCAGGAGGGGTGGCAGGGGAGGGACAGAGAGAGGCCAAGAGACAGGCCACGAAGCCGACAGACAGACTTGGGAGAGGACACACAGACCCCAGCAGACAGAGAGACGCCGAGAGACAGGCAGACAGAGGCTCTGAAAGGGACACAGAGACACCATGGAGCAGACAGACAGGCCGACTTTGGAGAGGGCCGCTGGACAGCCAGAGGGGCCGAGGCGGCGGGAGGCGGGGCCCGGGCCGTCCCCCGCGGCCTCTCTCACGCGGCCCGCGCTCCCGGCCAGGACTCCTGCGGGCCAGCCTGGCAGAGGAGCGCGCCGGGCTGGTGTCGGTGAACCTGCTGGTGACGTCGTCGGTGGCGGCCTTCGTGGTGGGCGCCGTGGTGTCCGGCTTCAGCGTGGGCTGGTACGTGGGCCTCCGCGAGCGGCGCGAGCTGGCGCGCCGCAAGGACAAGGAGGCCATCCTGGCCCACGGCGGCGGCGAGGCCGTGCTGAGCGTGAGCCGGCTGGGCGA